AAAAAATTTGTAAATGTAGGAAGTAATCAGCTAAAAATGTACTTTTAAATTTAAGCTAAAATATTAATAAAATCTTAAATAAAATATTACAATTAAAGATTAAAACAATTCAATAATGGATATGTGCTTCTTATATAGAAATATTAATAATTTAAACTTGTTTCCTTCCTGCTCCCATTTATTCATAATTTTTATGATAGTATTTTAAAACTTTCCTGAATGGTTTATGAACTTATTTCCGCTCTTAGAACGTCGCGACCTCTTATACTTCTTATCCACCGATTGTAATTCTAATAAGCCAAGTTGCTCTGCCAGCTAACTTGCATTTGCAATCTCTTAACCCTCTTCTGCCCCTGTTCCCTTGGCTGCGCAGAGTCTGCGGCAGCTGCTGGCGACAATATGCATGGCACTTATTGCCACTTCAGTTGGCATGCGAACCAGGCTAATAGGAGGGGCCACGCCCCCCGCCTTCCGCCACTGCCACTGGTGTACCTTACTTCACCTCAGAAAAACGCTCCTGGCACACCTGCAGAGCTTGGAAAAATTTTATTTGCTCAAGCTGAAGCAAAGTTCTGTCCAAGGAGCAACAGAACCTGAAGCTACCTTGTCGTCCTGGTGACACTTTTTGGTTTTTTATGCGGCACAGAGCTTATTTTCTCTCACTTCCAGTTGCACACGATAAAAAATCGTTTTTTGGTTTTAAATTTTGTTTAGAGATAGAGAGAAGATTTTATTTTGAAGGTATCAGCAGTAGATGATCTTTACACTTTTTATTTTATCTACTGAATTGATTTGGTATATGCAATTTTTAAAAATAAAGGAAATACAACAATTAGACAAATCAGCTTCAGCAGAATGAAAAATAAAAAGAAAAGAAAATTCATTAATGATTAGAAAAACTACATACTGACAAAAAAATAATATAATTTTTCTAGAGTGTAAAGTTTGCCCCTGGAAATCTCGACTTGTGAATGCAAAAAAGGGTGTAAAAAGCCCTAGGAAGCATAAAGAGAGTGGAAGAAAGCGGGAGTTGGAAGCCAGAAATTGTGGCCATAACTTGGTGGGTAACGTAAGGCAAAGGGGGAAATGCAGCCATGTCCAAAAATCTCGGCAGGTGTGGCTCACATGCACGTGTTGCACCATTGCAGTTGCACAAGCTGTTTCATTGCCTAGTGCAACGGGCATATTAAATTTACCTCATTCCCGGGGATGTTGTTATTGCCTGAGAGCATCATAACCCCAAAGAATCCGCTTGAAATTTATGCACTTGTGGGATTTTTATTCTGTACTGGGCCTCACCCCTTCCTTCCCTTTTATCTCCTTGGGTTTCCCTCTATCTCTTTGCTTTTTATTTTGTTTTATTCTCGCTTTTTGTTGCCCGCATAAAAATTATGTGGCACCTTGATATATGAATATGTTTGCCATGCTTTTATTAGATTTATTTTCGCACAGGAGCATAAATTGGAGGGGAAACCAAGGATAAAGAGCTGCAGATATGAAGACTGTCTGAAGAGATAGTGAGTGAGACATAAATATGAAGTGAGTATTAAAGCTATTAGTGCTTTTGAAAAATATGGTATAAGTGAAATATACATGCGGACTTTTGAAACTTTTCTTATTATCCTTATTTCAGAATTAGTACACCCCGTCAACATTGGCACCTCCTCTATATCCTCCATAACTTATTACCAGTTGTTAATAGCTCACGGCCTCTCATGTCCGATTGTTCTGCAATTTGCTTGACCCAATTCGCGCCGCAAACAATAAAGTGTATTTAAATCTACATACAAACGTGGTCACACAAGTGTGCAACATATGCAAAAGAAAACACAGTCTGAAGCTTAACTGTTGAAATTTTAAACAAATTTTTGCACATTTCCTGTTTGCCATTGTTTTTATTGTTCTTGTTGCAGTTGCAGCTTGACACAGTTTTCAGTCACACCCATTTATTTACAATGTCAACGAGGAAAGGAGCAGGAGGCGAGTGTGAAAAACCCTGGCAGGCTCAGCCTTTGTTGCTCTCGGAAAAGCCTCATATGAAAAGCCCCCGGGCTATGAAATTTGCATGCAATTTCAAGCACAAAGAAAATAGAGAAAAAGAGTAAGGTAAAGTGGGGTGCAAATAAGCTTAACCATGGCGAAAGGGAGGGGGGGGGCATTGGTTAACGACTGACCTTGTCAAAGGACCTTGAACTGTCCTAACAAAGGACCCAGACATTCCCAATCCCTGAATTCCCACGCCCATTTGCTATTTCCCAGTAACCAAGTAATTTCTGTGGCTAATTAGTACGCAATTTGAGGGAGGACATTCTTCGGGGTTGGGGCTTGAAATTAACTTCCAATGAAATTTACAGTCCGAACGAAACTTGTATTTCAAGTTACAGAGGTCAATCGAAAGGGTAAATGAATGTGACGAAATTAATTTTATTGACTGGCGACATTTGTTCATGTAAACAGACATTCCTTAAAAATGTATTTTTAATTATTTTTATAATTAAACCAAACAAAATCATTTCTCATCGTTGATAGAAAAACTCTCCTTCTCAAAAATATATCAGAAAAAAAGGATACATATATGGTATTATTTTAATAAAGTCACATTACCAAAGGTCCACTGTATTTGAAGTTTCTCAGTTGATAAGTTCCACTGGGTTAGGCCCTTTGTGCTTTATTGAATTTTAATTTGCACTTTGTGGTTTGCGGTCAATAGCGGCCACACCCCTATTTTGGCCAGCCACGCCTTTTTGCTTGGACTTCCACTTAAGACATCGATTCGCTTTGATTTCTTTTCAGTTTTCCTTTCCGCCCTTCTCGCCCTCTGTTGGTTTTCCTGCCGAGCTGCTCGTTTGCCAAAAACCGCAGAGCGTGTGTGAAAATTGAAATGTCACCAGTTCAGTGTCGAGTGTGGAGTTTTTCACCGCCTCTCAGTGCCCGCTATACAGATGCCCCTTGATACCCAACTGCAATGTCGTGCCTCGCTTTTCTGCTTGTCTGCCGCTGACAGTCATTGACAACTCGGAAGTTCCCCGATAAGGGGCGTTTTTGGGGCGAAAATGCGGTAGAATTGGGCTAGGAGGAATGGAAAGAAGGAGGACTGGGGTACAGCTGCATGGCACGGATGCAATGTTGCATGCCGGTCTGCACTAAGTGCTGACTCAACGCAATATAAGTTCTTATTTGCCAACAGACTTCACTTAGAGGATTTGTAATGGGGAATACCCAATATTTTGTACTCTACTTGGATTAAGGCGGACTGCTTGGTAAATTGAAAATTCAATTACAGAATTAAAACTTTCTAAGACTTTGGACAGACAGAAAAATTAATATAAATTAGATTAGATTAAATATGAAAGCCTTGCCAACACTGAGTTTGGCCAAATATCTGTAAATAATTTAAACTAATTTTGAGGTCCATCAATTCCAAACTACAAGTTTCAATTTAGGCACTTAAGACGTGTAAATTACTTGCCGAGATCGAATTCTTTAGGACCCACTTTTGGCTCCTTTTGCGGGACACTAGCCGAGAAAATCCCTTCTTGGCTCATTTAAGTTCGTTATGGCCGAACCACATATTTTGGCTTTTTTTAAGTCAGCCACTTGCATTAGTCTCCGCTCTAAGCCAACCCCCGCTGACTTTCGCATTTTCCACTGCTTTTTAGCACAAATCCTTTTTATTCCTTTTCTTTGGGAGTTTAAAACGTTTTCGACAGGATTTAGTTGCATGACTTTTTGCTTTTAGCATTTCGCCCGACAAACCTCAGAGCTCTCCACACCCCACCCCGCCCGATTCTCAAACTAACTGGACTCTAACTGCCCGGGGGGTGGATATCTGTTGTGCAGCTCCTCGATTCCCAGGACCAAACACGTACCCCCGTGGCCGAACGTGCACGGAATTTCCAAATACAAATACTAAACATGGCCACATTTTTTAGCCAAACTCCCCTGGCTTCCGACATCCACATCCCCCTTTGAATTCCATTTTAGTTTATTTTTTGTAGTTCGGAATATTTTGGATTGGTTACAATTTGTTTTGGCCATAGATTTCTGCCTAAATTGAAACTATTTCGTTTGAGCAGCAAGTTTGTTTTGGTCGAATTTCTAAAAAATGTGTTTGCAAAGTAAATATATATTTTAAATATTTGCCTTCTAAATCAAAAGTGTTCTAACATTGTTTTCGGATACATAATGTATTTCTAAGAATATTTTAAATATAAAATGCCCTGTAGAAAGTATCACCATTTTAAAATAAGTTTTTAATATTGCTAAACGGAATTCCTCTTAGACTTTTTGTTTAATTTAAGCCTCAAAAGGTACGATTAAATTTCTTCACCTCATTGTCCACCTTTGAGATAACAAATTTGCTTAGAGTCATAAGTTTACGATCTGCAGGGAGTTCACTTTTTTGTTGGTTACCAAGACATGTTGACACTTCGCAGGACAGGTCCAAGTAACCCACTTACAGGGGAAGTGAAAGAGCGGGGGAATGGATGTGTAAAAGAGAAGGGACTACTCCTCGCCCCCGCCATTTGCTCGCCTTTGTTTGCGGTGAAACTTTTGCAGCAGCTTTTGTTAATTCGGTCAATATTTGCGGACGCACGAAATAAAAACGAAAACTCAGCGAAAAAACTTTTTGCGAAAGTACAACAGGGGGCAGGGTGGAAAAATACAAAAATAAGAACAGTTCCTATTTAACCCCTTAATGGCAGTTTGGTTCAAGTTTTCCCACTGGATAACTGGCGGTTAAAATAAACTTATTGGCAGTTTGTCAGTCACAAAAAAGCCGCACACACGCCTGGCGCAACAGTTGCAGTTGTGTCCACCTGGATCATGTATTATTCATGGAAAACGCAAATGCCGTAACGCGTATTTCATTAAGGTAACCCCAATAGCCCAATAGTTTTTCACTTGCATGCGGCAAGTGGCGGTTATTTTTGGGGTATTCCCGGGACCCTACCCTACCTTTTGCGTTAATTGCGATTCGAGTTGTTTACCCAACTTACCTGCTGTTTAGTTTGGCCTCACGCTCCAGTTCTCCGGTTCTCTTCTCAATTTCTCCTTTCTCTGTCGGGTTAATTCTGAAAGCAACAACAGGGTAAAGTTTTTTTCGACGTTAGTTAAATTTGTTGAAAATTATTTGCCTTTCCTGTTGTTGATGGAGGGAGAATTCTGGAATGGTCTGGTTTTGCTTTGGTTGCTTCCTCGAGGAGCCTTAAGTTAATTAGTTGAATTTGTGTTGAAGAGTTTTTTGTGTGAGCAGGGGAATTTTTCCTAGTTTAATTTAGTGGATGCAAAACTTGTGTCTAGATGGGGAAGCGAGGCAGACAAACGCTGAAAGAATGTTGTAGAGTATTCACCCAAGACCCCAACTTTCAGAGAGATTTGTTTGGGTCCAGGACCGACTTAAATTAAGATTTCGCCAAGTTAAAGCACTTTTTAACTAGGGTGTGTTAAAGATTGGTAAAAAATAAAACAATTGAATAAAATATTAAAAGTATATTTTGATTTAAATTCGACTATGCATTGCAAAAATATTGGGTGAGAATTGGCAGTTTAGCTTATGTTTATATTTCATGGCGTTTGACAGATATTTTTATTGAAAAGCATGTATTTGTTATCCAAACTTTGATCAGAAATTCGTAGTTTTCTCCTTCTATGTTAAATGCGAATTTGTGGCTTTTGAGGAGGATATTTTTATTGAATATAATTTTCCATATTTCCACAACATTTCCGCCTCAACTTTTGTGGGCGAAACCAAGAAATTTACATAAATCAACTCTCTTGGCCAGCGTTCGCTATCTGTTTACGCTTTTTCCTCCGCTTTTGCTAGCTTGTTTTGTTAGCCAATTTTCAATGTTGGCTTCTGGCTTGCTGGCCACAACAAACAACTGACCATAAATAATCAAATCTTATACACAATCTGCAAACAGATTTTGCGTTTCTAATAAATTTCACTTTGCAAGCACACAGCAAAAAATAAAAGCCCAAAAGGAGGCAAGAAGTCGGCAAGGCAAACATTTTTTGCGTCACAGGCTAAAAAAATATGTATAAAAATATATATATTTATGCCTGGGCGGTTTACAATGTATGAAAGAATTCGGCCATATACTACAAAAATTATATATATTTATTTATGTTTATGCATATTTATCTATAGTCTGCTTTGAGCTTATATTGGAATTGAAGATAGGCTCCAAAAACTATAATGGAGAGAGGAAAACCACCACAAATTATGGTTCACTGAGTTTTCTAAACGTTTTTTCTCTTACTCTTTGGTATCTCTCCGCATTTATCTGCCTCTTTGTGTGTCCTTTCTGTCAAGGACACATTTATTTGGTGTGAAAATGTGGTTAGAAGTCAATAACATAATAAAAACGTTGACATTGAAGGTCGCTGAGGAATGGCTGCTATAGACACATGAAACCACAAGACGGGTGGGTCCGGGAAATTTATGAAAATGGACTGGCGCTCTCGAGAAGGAAGGGAAACCCATCCGAAATTGAGGTTAAGGGAGTTTCTGTTGGCGAACAAACTTTCATTGCATAACAATAGGCGCAATGGCGAACCGCAAGCCGCATTTAAATATAAATACCTGCAGCCAGAGCCGCAGGCCAAGAAAAAAAAACAGCAAAAAAAAAAAAGAAAAGCGGGAGAACAAGTGAAAAGTTTTCTGCGTTTTCTGGCCATGTAATGAAAGTCCAGGCATTTTCCATCCCGTTTTCCTGGAAAAGTGGCTCGTGGTCGCTGGCACGTGAAAGAAAAAGTGCAGGTGGCTTTCGTTCCCGCTTCCCTGTTTTTCCACACCCACAGCAGAATAAATAAACTTCAACTTTTTGCCGGCCACAATTTCTGTTTCTGCTTCTTTTTCCCTTTGGCCGAGTAAGAGAAATATCTAAAATTGCGGCAGTGCGAAAGCGTAAAACAACAATAACAAATGGCACAGAAATGGGCTAAAGCGAAATAAGCCACAGAAATGGAAATAAGAGCTGAACAATTTCGCTTTTTCTTCCCGGTTTCATATATATGTATATGTATAAATTTATATTATTTTCAGCAGTCAAGTGGGTGGAAAAATGCTGTTAAGCTTTAAAAATGTTGGCAGCCTCAAGATGCGAGAGTAATTGAGAACAAATAAATACAAGTGGCCGGTGGGAGGAGGAAAAGTCGAGGAAAAAGTGGGCAAAATAAAGATAAAAGCAAACAGGCACAGCTGAATAATGTGGGGAAATCAAACGAAATATGAGAGCATGAGTAATGAAATGAACGCATTAAAGAAAAAATTCTTTTCAAGAAGATAAGAAATAAATCAATGACATTCCACAAAGAAACTTTTATTTCAATCACGCACTGGGAGAAATAAATAAATAATTTTAAAGTGGATATTGTAGAACTTTGAATAAAGAAAGTAGAGTTTGAAACTGTATTTCGAATACTGAATTTTCTTTTTTTTATCCTTTTAGCTCATTTTAAAACCCTCTTGTTTTCTGTGGCACCCCTAATTTCTTATCTACACAAAGTAGAAATCATAGTCTAAGATTTCTACAACAGCGCTTGCTTGAAAACTTCTCCTGGACAAATTAAAGTTTTACTTTCCGCTGAGAGGAAATCTTAGAAGCAGTTGTCTCCTAGTTGGGTCACTTGACTCCCTTTGCTCCCACATTTTTTTTAGCTTTTCCTTCAATCAAATTAAGTCGAGCAACTTCTGGGAGCCACAGATTTATTTGCATGTTTGCTTTCCTCCATTTTATCCGTTTTCCCATTTTCCTCTCCCATCCTGAAGCTACAGGCTCTGATAAGGTTTACAATTTGCTTGCCATTTGCTTTTCCGCTTTTCCCAACTCACACATAAGATAGACTGGAGCCTGCTGCTCAATTTCATTTTTACGCTCACCAATTTCAGCTTTCCTTAGCTTTTCGGTGCTGTTTTTCTTGTATTGCGTTTCTGCGTTTTATTTACTTTCTTTTCGGGTTTATAGTTGGTTCATTGTTGCTCTCTTTCTATTTTTCACATTTCGTCTCTGTCTGTTTTAGGTGGGTGATGATGCTGACATAAATCTCTGATATATTGCCTTGCTGCTGCTGTACCGATAAATTTTCAGCTCGACTCTTGACGCTATTTTTGTGCAATAAAATCCTTTACTCTTCCCTTGCTTTCTGCTTTTTAAAGCTGCTTGGACCCTAAATCAAATCAAAAGCCTGATGCTCCCTATTTTTTAATTTTTTGAGGGCGTGTCGTCTGATGGTACAAAAGTCATTATGGAACAAGTGTTGGCCGCTTTCCCAGCGGACACTTGAGCATAATTAATGCGATGCCACGCCCACAGTCCGCCGCCAAAACAGGAAATGGCAACCGGAATAGATCCTCCCGCCTAGGGATTTTCCTCTTTGCTTCCCAACCCATTTTCCCACTCAAATGAGACTCGACGCAATTGTCGCTCCCAAATTAATTTGTATAATTTTACAGTCGCAATTGGTTGATGAGGGAAGTTCAGGGGAAGTTTGGAGAACACAAACGCCATTCGAGGAAACCGAAACTTATTCCCATGGGTTCCAAAACCTCGGAGAATTCAAATGAAGTTTGGCGGCACCGAAAAAGTAGGCAATTATTTTGTAGGCCAAAAAAGAAAATGAGAAAAACGAGGCTGGGGGAAATAAATAAAAGCAGGTAGCATCTCGAGAAACCTGAACATTAAAGAAAATGAATGCCAAGAAATTTAAAAAATATGGTAAAAATTAAAGGATAATAAAGTTATCAAAAAAATGGGGTAGAATACTTATAATATTATATGAAAGGATTTCCTTTAGCGGGATTTATTTAAATTGTATATTTTTAAGCTGTTTCGCGTATATATATTGAGGCATTAATCATTCGAATTAATTACTGAACGGCATTCCATTATCAATCGATTTCAGCAGACTCTCCATCGTCCACTTTCAGCGTGATTAATATTTAATAGGAAATGCCAGGCCCTTTTAACTATCTCCTGCTGCACTCGACTTACCCTGCCGACCACCTATCAATTGCAATCAAGATGTAAATGCTGTTACTGGGAAACTCCGGGAGAAAGTGGCAAGTGGCACAGGGCAGCGGATAGAAAGTCGATGTTGCAACACTTGATTGACTTTCCCAGCGCATTTATTTTGAAGCCTTCCGGCTGCCGTTGGCCGCAAAGCCAACTTTTCAACGACTTGGCTTAACTTTAAACTGCAGCAATGGCTAAAAATAAAGGAATTCGTGGCTTACACACACTCCTGAAACTTTCGACCGTACTGAAAATAAAGTTTGCCACCCAGAAAGCCAGATACCGTGGGGAAGATGGAGCTAAGTTATTTAGTGCAGGTTTAGGCACCTGACTATCCAAAGAAAACGAGTTTAGCTGATAAAAAACGAAAAACGTATATAACCGCATGGCAATAAAATGTAATTCCCTGAGATTTCTCTTTTGTCTGGCTGCGCTACTTGCAATTGCAAATTGATAAATACATTTACTGCGGCAAAATGGAGTAGTTTTATAAATCTGCACATTCATCAGATGAGCTGATTATCCACTGAGAAAAACGTTGACGATTATTGAAAAATAGCTAAAAAAATATTTTGTAAACAAATAAGAAGTCCTTAAAATAATTAATAAAATTTTCCGCATGCTGGTGTGAAATTAGGTTTAGAGCTTGAAAGTGTTCGATATTTTTGATATTTGGACAATATATTGTTTCGAAGGGAAAACAGATATTAAATTATTCAAGCTCTAATTATGTTACCATATGATTTTAAATCCTTTCTTATCTGCAGCTGCTAAAACATACAAAATGTTGGTAAAGTAATAGTTTCTTTGATTCACACATTTAATGTTCACCTTTTATTCGTAGCTTTACGTGAATTTCTAGATAAATTTAAGTTCCGAAATATTTTTCACTGTAAATAAAACCTACCAGCTTGAAAGTGTGAGCACGTTTTACCCTCATGATTTGGTATGCTTCAGCGATTTGTTTCGCTGTGGGTGAGTTACACTCTGGTTGAAGGTTTTTCCGCTTTTCCGCAGCGCCCTCGACATTTTCCCTTTTTTCCCGCTGACCTAAT